GCTTCCTCATCTAATTCAAGTTCCATCGCCAATGGTTCCATATCAGTTTCCTTATCGAAAGATTCCTCGATTATACAGATGTTTTATTCTTCTTCAAGTTCACCTTGACGTAGGGGTTTCACGTCCCCACTTGTATAAGCATTTCCCGATGTCGTGAGTATATCAACTGTTGAAAATATAATTTTTATCTTTAGTATAAATACTTTTCCTTAGAACCCTTCGGGTCATAAATGAAAATGTGGCTCTCGAAAATTCCTTGACCTTATAGATCTCAATAGTCATTAGCAATTACGGCAGGTACCCACCCCAAACACTGTTCATATTTGGGGAGATTGTCTCATATAATAATGGAATTCTAATCTCCTGTGACTGAATTGAAGGAATTTCCAAGGTCGTTATCGTTGTTCGCTAACCGTTATTCTTACCTGAACGAATTGCACTATTCGTAAAGTTCAATTTCATCAAATTGACTCCACTATATATGGTTTATAACAATTTATTTTATGATTTTCGTTATATGTTCATAACTTCAATCTTACATAATAAATAATAGAAAAACATACCTTTCTTCGTCAATTTGAAATCGAAAAAAATGAATGCCGACATCACCCTGCAAATTACAGCAACCCACAGCTCGACACTTGCTCATTTGGAACTAGACACAAATTTTTCACAAATACAAAACCACCACTTACAACGACTCATTCTGTAATAATATTCCATGCCTCCATTTGGCTCGCTTGGTAAACGTCTCAGATTCAATCGGACCCAAATATGTCGGAGAGTGAACTTACTTGTGTTTACTTCTTTACGGTGCCGTTGAGAAGTGATTTGCTAGGTTTGAACGAGGTGAAATGAGTAGGGAAACAAAGGGGGTCGTTGGTAAGAGTTTCAGAGGGAGACTTTAGCGACTGGAAGAGAGAAACATGTGACGTAATCGATGCAGAGAAGGATGGAATGAGTATCGGAGAGAATAAAAGATAATAGCGTGGACTTGGGTTCTCTTGGGGCTCCGCCTCACCCCTCAGGCCTTCGCCCCTGAGCCTCCTTATCGCGTACCAGTCACGTGGTCCTAGTTGTCATCGGCAGTCGAGGAAAATTGAATTAAAAAAGTTTACCGGAATGAAATTGAACCCAGGTCGTCGGGGTGGTAGACTATGCCCTTAGTCTCGACACTAACGTGGGATATTGGAAGTAACTGCGAATTGTTGATAGTGATGGCGGTTGTTTTGTCGGCTGTCATCTGCGATTTAGAGTGATGAATGAAAACAAAGAAGAATGCAATGAGTATCGGAGAGATTCAATGATAAAAGCACCGAGGTCGATCCACGTAATTGACGCCACAAAGAGGCTGTTACCCAAAAACATGAAAAAGTCCACAACATAATTTTGGATTACCGCAAAGTGAAGTTGATAGAAATAGCTGAGGCTCTAAAGATATCAAAGGAACGTGTTGGACATATCGTGCATGGATATTTGGGTATGCGAAAGCTCTGTTCAAAGGGTGTGCCGTGCGAACTGCACAACCATTGAAGCCATTCCACCATGAAAAACACAAATTTATGAATCGATTTGTAACAATGGATGAAGCATAGCTCTATCATTTCACGATCGTTCACAGTAGGCTGGCAAGGTTATAGTGACAGTGACGAAAAAGGAGAACCATTAACAGCGACTATAACATAGCATTAATAGAGCGTTTGAAGGACGAAATCAGGAGGAAACGATCCTCTTCGATGAAGAGGTAATTGTTGAATCTAAGACCTATTTTGAGGCTTAAGACATTCCATTCATATGATTGGAAACTGTTTTTCAAAAGTTTTCATTCTGTTCAAAATATTATGAATGGATTTTTGAAGTTCAAGTTACAATGAATGTATAATAATCAAACTCAGGAGATTACTCAAAACATTCAGTTATTCAATGGAGCTAGCACCACTGACGAGATTTATGACGGGTCAAAACAGCGCTGTCTGGTGTTGAGTCATAAATGGGTTCTGTTTGGGCTCTGATTCTCAAATTTCAGATGAAATTCTTCATGGAAATGACACACATCCTAATAAAAATAACAAATAAATTCTAACAAAAGTAATATCCATACTATATACGAACTCCAAACACATATGATTGGTAAAATAAGCTTTTTTCACTCTCGACAATAACACATCACAGGTCGCTACTACAAACAGACACAATCAATCAGTGATTGGCGCATTAAGTTTTGTCGCGATTAAGTGTTCAGTTTCCGATTTGAATATTATGCTGTTATCTGTGCCCCTATCTTCAACCTCCACTTTCGAGGGATTCCTTGGCTAGATCGATCCAGAAACCACCATTCATATAAATTTCAGCACTTAACCTGTCTACCTCTTCACGTAGAACTTCGGTAGTTAGTATGCGTACACAAATTCGGTTAAATAGTTTCCTGTACTTCGCACATCCGGTAATAAACAGTGAAGAGGATTGATCGCTTAAATATAGATACCACAATAACTCATCCCTGACTCCCGGTAATATTATTAGCGGTAATTGTGATTGAAATTGCTTCGGAAGTGGATTTGGAAGTTCCGGTTGAGAAATCGGTAATCGAATTCTGTGCGAGTGATGAACTTGCTCCCATTCTGCTGATTCAGGAGGAGGTACGTTATCGGCGGATAATTCATATTCTATCCATTCCACATCAAATGTTAACTTATACCATTAACACTGAATAGGTATTTGATTGTGATCATCGGGATGAAATTATTCGTAAGGACCATTATTTGAAAGGAAATCTATTACGAAAGATGGAGGATCGGCCCAGAATATTCTTTGTTGAAATCTTCTCATCATGAAGTAAGATTCACCGGTGAGTGAAATTGTAAAGCAAATTAAAGCCATAGTTATAATAACATTTTGATATTTAGTTATGACAAACTTGAAGAACTTTGGGAATATATACCCAAAATATTTTCAATACTGTCTCTATCTCTGTAGGAGGATTCATATGATATTTTCGATTGATTTGCCGATTTTCGATATTATTTTTCATTCAATTGCTAGTTTTGAATCTTATAGGAAGCTGTGTGTGGATACGTTTTCTAATGCATAATCATTACAGTGGGTTACCAAATAATATATTCGAGGTTTACTAATCATGATTTCGTTTTAATTTCTGTAATAACAAATATTTTATTGTTGGTGACTACGGTTTTTTGCGGCATGAATCAATGTTTTCCTCATGACTGGTTTTTGGTACAAGTTGCTAATTGTTAGGGATATGTGCAAAACGTCACTGAGTACTACTGGAATCTCAGAAACAGTTTGCCATTTTGGTATCCAAATTGACACCCAACAAGTCAATTCACATAACTAACAGAATTGTTGCTTTGTTGTTTTGGTGTCTCGTCCCTTCATTCACTTTTTTACAATATACTAATGCTTAGATTTTTGTAGTATTGAATTACACAGGCCAACAAAAAAATGTTTTCGAAAACTTACTTCAATAGCTGATTTTTATAGATTTTTGTGTGCTGAATCAAAATCTGGTCTGAGTTTTTTTGTATCACCCATGGTTTTTGAGAAATTCAAAAAACATGGAAATTTGGTAAAACCACCTTGCTGACCAAGAAGCATGCATGGTACTTTCGAGTCACCACATATCATCCAACCATGAGCCGAATAGCCAACAAGTATATTATCTTCAGCAGAGCAAAGTAATGGCTTTGTGATTATGGTAAATATAATTAAACGTAATGAGTGAACGAAATATTCCGTGTATCCAGAACAACCAGAACACTTCATCAGGCAAAAAACCTGGCACACTTATTTTCGGCATCTTCATTTCAGGTGACAGTTTTTTTAAATATATTTTTTCCATAAACTGGAACGTTTCAGGGTATTAGTACCTTTATTGAACCCCAAAGATGGAAGAACTTTTCAAAAATATCACCGTAATATAAATTTCAAATCATTTAAAGGAACTAATTATTGCGGCGGTCAAATCTCCAAGAAGAATCCTGCACTGACACCTGTCGGATATAATCCAACGCCCTTCGTGGTATTAGCCAGAGGTGTAGTTGTTTTCTGATAGGAGTCAGTCCATTATCTTACAGTGTAGGGAGTTGAGACTAGCCTGAACGAATTGTTTTGTCAGATGATTTGATTTATAGCCTGGCTTCAAGTATGCCCACTGACTATATGTGAAATTGAATTAAATATAATAATACTATTTTCGAACTGATATTACTAGGAATATTATATTAGATTTTTTCTTTGACAATAATAACCTTTGCTCATTGAAGGAGTTGTTTTTTCTCTAAATAACAAAATATCGATCACTGAATTAGACAATTATAGGGTATGGTCAGATTTTCAATCATTTGTAGAGCATACGGTGCTCGCCCTTCGTCAGTTCGAGGTTTGTAGATTTGGACATATCATTATGGACGTAAAAAAATCAATTTTTCTCCAATAACCTCAGTGACCTATTTCTTTCGAAGAAAATGAAATATCCCTCTTCTCGATATGTAACGAACGCTTCAATAGCTTTCATAATTATATGATTATATGAAAAGTTATATGAATAGATCATTTAAAATTTATAACCAAACTACTGAGAACTGGTCAAAAGTACCAGATGAATTGAATATAGGATGGAAAATATAACTTTGGTCTGATTTACTGTAATATTTTTATTTGTTAACACTGGTTTCTGTTTATTGAACCATTCTCAAGTGAAGTCGAGTTACGACCGGTTTCTGTTCATGAAACCATTCTTAAGAAAAGTTGAGTTTACTAATCTAAGTGGAAATTAGACCAAAGTTTTTTCTCTATGCTATATTCGAAATGAATTTCCACAAAATAAATAGGTCATCAATCGAACAAACTAGCTAAGTTAATGAATATTTCTTTGGAAATTATCATTGTGAATATAATAATAATAATAAAAGTTATTGAAGAATTTCCTAGATAAATATGACTACCAATCACTAACTTTCTACAAATGAGGAAAGTTTTACCTGGTGGGCAGGCGAGTTGAACGGCTCCTCCTAGCGAAACTTCTAACTGCTTTCCCGTCGAACTAAGTTCGCCAATGTCAAAGTCTGGCTCTTGTGTAACATCCGTGTCATCTACGGGGACAAAAAGAAAAACAATTATTGGCTACTTTCTGCCGTAAACGGGGTATTATCGGGTTTTGAGACTTTAATGGGATGTTGCATCCAGCGGAAAAAGTTTAACAAGTTCGCGAATTACTCCCGTAGGAAGACATGTACGAGGATAGACTATTTTTCATTTTCTGTTGGCGACAGTTTTCAAGACCTTTCGATAAGTTAGGCTGTTAGTTGTTTTCAACGGATTCATTGTTTGAATGGCATAACAGAATCTATAATTTATTGATATTACCAAATCAATTTAAACGAATAATTTAACTGAAATGGTAATGAATGAGGAAACGATTTTATTTTTGGATCTTTCTCTTTCTTTTCGAATTGCTGTAAAACAGCTTTTCCAAAATGTTCTTCAATTTGAACACTCGAAATAAAATAAATTTATGACAGGTGTAACCAAGAACTGTCTATATTTATAGAAACACCAAAACACATATGACCCAAGAAACCCTAAGAAAGCTTCATTTTCACACATCCGATTTAGGATGATTCGATGATATGAAAGTTAACTGATTAATGCAAATACAAATTTTCAATTGGATGTACGAAAAAATGCTGTACATCTCATAATGATTATCTTTACAATGATACAAATATCATAACAGATGAAAAGACTGAAAATAAATGGAAGACTCGAATAAACAGTGACAATTATCTATTATTTCTGAAAGCATATTATTTCTCAAACAGTGGCGTACCCACAGTAAACCTTTCTTACGATGATAACATTTTGGGTGATAAAAAATAAAATTATCTTTAACAGCACTTGATCGATTCCCAATTTTAGTACACCGATGTAACTGGAATTGAATTCTCTTCAAAATGATGTATTACAAGTATAGTAGTTTAGATGAGGGGGTTGACAACACAATGACGATGTATTTGGTGAAAGTGTTTCCATCTCTCATGTCTTGACATAAATTAACCTCAATACCGGGGAAATCGAAGGAAGCTGTACTTGTATTTTTCCAGATGACTATAATCCGCTGCGATTTGAATCCTATTTTAGTCACTTCTCAGAGTGAAATAAATCTTTGATTGAGTCTGTTTGTATGAGAGTATTAATTGCTCTGAACATAACCATCCATCATACCATTTATATTCCGGATTATCACGTGAAGAGGAATTCTTTCATCTGCAATTATTTTGATATGAAGTGGCAGTACTCGAAAAATTAGTATAATCTGTCATTTAGTGACAACAACAAACTCCAGCTGATGAATGGCTCAGATGTTGTCAACTGTCACCATATTTCTTCTCAGAATGTCCCTCTGCTGAGGGCACAATTCATTGCCGCCACATTTATCCCACGACATCGCCACGCGAAAAACGTGTTGGAAGCTCCCTCAACCGAACCGATGGGGAAAATCTGCGGAAAAACTACTTCTCTCCGAAACTAAATCAACTAGAAGTTTCATCTACCCCGCGCGTGCCCCCCTCATTCACCGCAGCCTCTATAAATAGTTGTGGTGAGTGGATTAGTTGGTGAAGTTTTCGTAAATGAGTTAGAGCGTCAGCAGCAGACATCGTTTGATTATAGCCGCGAACACGTTTTATAACTCCACCACAGGGTTGGATCTAAGTGCGATTTGATATCAGGGGCGGTATTTTCAAGTCGAGTGTCTCGTGGAAACTCATTTTAAATTGTTATTTTCGTTTCGATGTATTTTGGCTCAATTCAATTTTTCAATGAACATTCCTAAAGACAACGTTACCTTTATTGAAATCAACATTATGTGGATAAAATCCATATCTGGAGATATTTGATACTGAGGAATCAATATCAAATATTGTGATATAGTCGGGCCTCCTCTATTACAGTCAATTACTTCAGTATTATACAAATGTTTATTTTCACAATCTCAACATTTTACATAAAGGCCAGAAGGTTGTGCACTGACTATGCAATCAATCATAGTTGACGTTATCTGAGTTGCTGACCTTTCAAAATCTGAGAAATTATTGAATATAGATCAAGAAAGAATCTGCTCAAATATAATTAAGGGCAGACTGAAAAGTTCATATCGAAAAGATACTGTGTGATACAAATCCAGTTAGTGAGTAAGTGGGAATTGGCGAAGTTTCTACCGGTGAGAATTGGCGAAGGTTCTACCGGTGAGAAAATCATCGAAGTGCTTGAAAAGATGGTAGGCGATTGGCGAGAAGAAGTTTAGTGGGTGGGGCAGAATTTTGTTTCATTTTCGGACAGTGATTTGTGAAACGTGCGGACGGGTGTTGTTGTGGAGCAGGATCAGACTTCTTCTGTTGACCAGTGACGGCTGTTGCTGACGCAATTTCTGGTACATTTCGTTTTTTTCCTCACAATAGGAATCTACTGTCATGCTTTGACCTGGTTGTATAATAAATAACACCAGTCGCTGACCACCATACACTAACCAAGGTCTTTTTCGGCGGGTTCTTGCCTTTGGAAAGTGCCTGGGAGACTCAACTGTATTCCTGAACGTCTCCTGTTGTCCGTAGAGGATCCACTTTTCATCACTTGTGACGATCCGATCCAAAAAAGAATCGTTTTGGTTGTGCAGAAGCAACCTCAAAGCCTGACAATTTTTGTAGATCGTTCAAATCGTGGGGCACCCACTTTTCGACCTTTTCGAAACGTTAAGGTGCGTATTCACCAAAAAAGCGAGCACGAGCGAACAAGAGCGAACAAAAATTCTGCATCAATAATCGTCTTGTGAGTTCGGGCTAGCGAGCGAGCGAACGTATGCTCGTTCGCGTTCAGTGAAGATCGAGAAGAAGGCGGTACTACAGGAGCGCATTCACCAAAAAAGCGAACATACTCGCTCGTGCTCGCTTTTTGATGAATACGCACCTTTAAAGACCATCGAAAACCGCATGGGAGCTGACGCCTAGTTCTTTCGACATCACACGATGGGTCACCAGGGTGGTAGTCCTGGACTACTGTAGGTCAACCACTTTGGGGCTCATCTTCGAAGCTAAAATCCATGAATGAAATTTCAAAAATTAACATCAAAGTTTGCGTTCATTAACTCTATCATTGCCAAATGTCTGATTCATTATATAGTAATACGTTGGAAAGGGGCCAAAATTAAAATTTGGGAAAAAATTAACAGCATCGATATATAGAGTATAAAATTCTCTATCGATTAGTATACACAACGACACAGTAGAATAAATATTTATTGAGATATAGAGCTCCGGAAACACATTAAAACTAACAGAACCCGCATCCCGCAAAGGTATATTGTGGCTCACAACTATTCAAACTCGACCAAATAAACCTAGTTTCCTGACGAAGCCGATTAGTATGTATGGTGAGTGATCTTTCAGGTCAGATGGTAAAAGTGTGGTTTTATCAAACTCTGAAAAACTAATTCGGTCCCCAGCGGGGCAGGCACAAAGTATATGCTCTGCTGTTTCATCTTTTTCCAAACAGAGGCGACACACTGTCTGCCCACAGTCCGAGTCTCTGCATATGACGATTCAGATGACCGTTACCTGTGAGAAGACCTGTCAGACATCGTAGTTCATCCCTATCCAACAACTGTTTGGTATCAAGCTTCTTGCTATCCAGGTTTTCAATGTATGTTTGGCAAAGCCTAAAGCGATGCCAATGACACGTTCTGGTCCAATGAAGATACTTGCAGCACCCTCCTCTGCAAAGCAGTCAGCAGCCACATTGCCTTCTAGTCAAGTATGGTCAGCAATCCAGACCAGAGACAATCTGTTGTTGAGTCTTTCTATCGAGGAAAGTCGTTTTTGGGAATTTATTACCAATTAAAACGTTGTTGCTCTGTAGGAGCCAAGAGCTTCCAATGCCGCTTGACTGTTCGAGAATATTTTTAATGACTTGTGTATGAGGTTGAATTCTTTCAGTCTCTCCGCACACAATTCAATAGCGTGCATTTCCGTTTGAAATACAGTCGCATAGGTTCCTAGTTCTCTGTCCTGGGTCTGCGACTGAAAATACCTGCACCAGAACCCAAAAGTGTTGTTGATCCATTTGTGAACCAACAACTATCTTCTCTTAATATTTCCTTGTCCCGAAGGATCCAGTCCTCTTTATTCGAAAACAGTATTTTATAAGGAAGTTCATAGTTGACAGTTGAAGGCATAAAATCAGATGTCATTCTCAGAATTTTGTGGATTCAATTCGTTACTACAGATAAATCTGGTCAGGTTACCTTCAAACTAAAGTTGATCAATTATCCGATTTTTTGAAATGTCGGTTCATATATTTTTTTCATTTCTTATATCTGAGTTTGTAACTCTCTCATTTAATGAAGATTTTCTTGAAAACTTGTATCTGTCTGTCTGTTCTGTTTTTCTGTTAATTAGCCGTTGCCCCCATACGACGACAACTCTCAGAAGTTGAGAAACTTATGCGAGTTAAGGACTAACGAGGTCTTTCCTTTCAACGTGTGTCTCCTAACACGGTTGCAGAATCATCCCAGCTACAACCAGATAAATTATCTCGAGAAAATATCTGGTCAAGGCGGGTATCGAACCCACGGCCTTCCGACCGTGAGTAGGGCGCACTACCACCGCGGCCAATTCCACAACATCAACAATAGAATATGTGGATTGATCAGAAAAAATAGGTAGATTTGCAAAAATTTATATTCACCATTTTCTACCGAAATTCTATGCAGTAAAGATATTTTCACATATAATTCGTAATTCGGATGAATTTTTGAGGATCGAATTGAGTCACATGGCTATTCCACGTGATTTTTCTTGCACAAGTCTTAGGATGTTTCTATCTATGAAAATACATTTAGTTCAGTATTTCCATCAACAAGCAATGTTTTCCTCTGGGCAAATACTTCACATGGAATTGAATCGTTTTTCGATTTTACTGATAATTTTTTATGCAATAGGGGGCAATTCAGGATACTTTTCATGAAACAAGTTAACAACATCCAGCTGAACGAAAAATTGAAGAAAAATAAATTACTTTTGTTTTTTTTCAGTTCCAA